CAGTTGTTGTCCAGAGAGCTTCAAGTTACAAGCAGCTTACCCTAAACTTGTCTGTTGGATACGGACGTCAGTGTTTCCAACTGTTTGAGAAATGCTTTGTTTTGAAAAGGTGTGAAATTGACTTTGTACATTCATCATTTTGCCATGATGTGTCAGGAAATGGTTTAAATTCCGATAATATGATAATAATATTAAAATTTAACTTTAAACGCCCTGCCCGTATTTTCTCCTGCTTCCAACTTTTTGTTTCATGATCTCCTCTCAGCAGGCCCTGGTTGTTCTGTTTCAGAATGCGTTTCATTGTTTCTGATTAATATTCCGGTTAAAAAGAGCGAATATTTCCCACACGTGAACAGCTGGTCGAGTCAGCAGACAGTGAGCAAGGAAGTGGAGATCAGCTCAGTCGCACTCCGCGACCTGTTCTGCCAGATTTGTCTCCTTTTTGCCCATTGATGTGGCGCAGCAGTTGGTGGCTGACTGGTGCACTGGGGTGGTTTAAATTGCTCTTTATTTCCTACCAAACGTCTGTCGTTCTTATCTCTCCACTTCTTTTTGTGTTAGCTACTCTCTTGTAACGCCTTATATAAACTTCGGCATTTGTTGTACCGATTTCCGGTGCAAGTGCCGTATAATTCAAACTCTTACTAAAATAAGAGAAAAAAGGGGTATGGCGCAGTTGAGTAACCTCATTCTAAGTTTGAGGTTCAAATCAAATGGGGTTTGAAATTACACTGTCCTTTCTTTCATGTTTCTTCAGGGTCTGGGACCCTGACGGGTATAACGTGATCTGGTTTCGACGTGACCGTTCAGTGGGTCTAGTTACGGGGTGCCCATTACGGATGGGATCAGTGCTAGACGGTCAGTTAGTAAGAACGTATAGGATCAGTGGATTGGGCTGATCGCCCGACTCGGTCGCCTGAAAAACACATGTTTTCAGTTTCAGGCAACCGAGTCGGGCGATCGGCACGATCCAGCCGTACTGGACACCCCGTATTTAACTTTGAGTTTTCCATAAAAACAAAAAGACGTACTTACTAGGTCTCATTTAGTCATCAGACTACGATAGTATATGAAACACATGAATGATTGCATGTGTGGTATACCTTTAAGCTGTCACAGGCACAATTTAGCTATTTTGTAAGGCTGAATCATGTATAGAATGTTACTTTTAGCCCCTTTGTTATCACTGTAATAGCTGCCGTGTAATACAAACGTTAAAAAGCGAGTGGTACCTTTTATATTCTTTTTTTGGTGTGTTTTTTAAACATGATTAAAAGTAGAAACATAATCTCAACATTTTTTCGCTTTATTTTACCCAGAATCTTTACTGAGATATTCTCGCGACCTTCAGGACAGCTGACGCTTTCTGGTGGATCATGGCCTTGAGTTTGGGACCCCCCCCCCCCCCCTCTCTCTCTCTCTCTCTCTCTCTCTCTCTCTCTCTCTCTCTCTCTCTCTTCGTCTGTGTCTCTCACTTTATTAAACAATTCTTACTTTTTGGACCGGTGACAGATGAGTTTTCTGACGTGATCATTCCTAATTTCTTTGAACTTTAACTGAGTCAATTATCTTTGAACCCTTTCTTTTATTTTTAGCTCTGACCCTTTGATTGGTCTTCGTGTGTGGGTGGTTGGCGGGTGCTCTGGTGTGGCTTGCTCCTTTGTTCCTATCAAACATCTATCACCCTCATCTCTCCTCCTTTTTTGTGTTTGTTACTCTCTTGTAACACCTCTAATCTTCGGCACGTGTATGGCCTTATTGTGTTGCTAATGCCGTAAACCTCTTACAAAAACTAAGGTCTACGTGTTTCCATGCAAAAAAAGGGGAGGGAGTCGGAGTT